CTATCCTTCCCTCCTGAATTTGGGGGTTTGCCTTCCCAGAATTTTCACTCCCCTCCTATCGGCTCCTATTTTGTTCCCTCATCAGTTCGTTTTTACATAGGACAAATTGTCATTTATTAATACCTGATTGCTGTCCATGTTTGACACACATGTGCTATTCTCTGGAGGGTTCACAGACCCAGCTTTTCAGAGGGTGTGGGCCTGACTCCCTGCCCCTCCTAGCCCAGAAGGTGTCGGGTGGTAGTGAGTACGTGGTTTGGCAGAGGTGCCCACTGGTCAAGGGACGTGGGTCGGCCACTGAGTCAGGGAGCTGGCAGCCAGCTCACACTGAAGCAGTTTTTTAACATGTGCCTCCTCAAGCTGCCCTTCCTGTCCCTTCCTCTCCTGAGGTTGCCGTGTGGGTGAAGGGCAGCCGCACCTCCTGAGGGGGTGGGCACAGCAGGCCCAGAGCCTGGGGCCTGAATTCTCCTGGGTTCTTGACTCTGACCTTCACTCAGAACCCTCTCTGCCTTGTGGACACGGCCAGCCACAAACTTGCCATCTCTGATGAAGCTGCCCAGTCAACGCCCACGGCCCCAGCCCTGGAGGTGACATCCTATCATCTCCCTTGACCCCTCTGGAGCATTTGACTCTGTGGGCTCTTCTTCCCTGAAGCCCCAGGAGCGAGAGGGGCAGGGGACATGGGGGATGCAGTTGTTCTGCCCTCTTTCTCTCTGCCCTGTGGACTAGGCTGGGGGGTGGGGCTCGGTCCCCAACTCCCAGGTTGGAGCAGCCACCAACCTCTTGCCTGGACTATTCTCCTGGCCCCTGCCTGCCACCCTGGCTGCCCTTATGTAACTTGGCAGGGTTGAAATCAGGTGTTGGAATTGCACGGGGCAGTCACTGCAGCCTGCCTGTCTCAGCTCCCTTGGGGACTGAGAAGGAAACTGAGGCCTAGGAAGATAATTGACTTGTTCCTGGACTTCTAGCAAGTTTGCATAAAAGCCAGACTTTGGCAGGTTTTTTCTTTCTGCCTTTCTCACTGCTGCAAAACACTTCCCTTTGTGCTTACATGTACGTGGAAGGTGACGAGATACAGAGGTTAGCAGGCCCGCATAGTGTGTGGTCCTCTCTCAATCTCTTAACCCTTCCTTCTCATCTGTTCAGCAGAAAGAATAATGAATAGGTTTGGAAAGAACAGAATAGCCAGTGGGTGGCTACACTGATGAGTTGTTTTGGCTAAAGAGTTTTTTGTTGTTGTTGTTGTTTTATTTCTTATTTTTATTTTTTTGAGTCGGAGTCTCACTCTGTTGCCCAGGCTGGAGTGCAGTGGCACGCTCACTGCCACTGCAGCCTTGACCTGCTGGGTTCAGGAGATCCTTCCACTTTAGCCTTCCAAGTAGCTGGAACTACAGGCATGCACCACCATGCCCGGCTAACTTTTTGATTTATGTAGAGTCAAGGTCTCGCCATGTTGCCCAGTCTGATCTCAAACCCCTGGGCTCAGGCAATCCTCTCGCCTCAGCCTCCCAAAGTGCTGGGATTAAAGGAGAGAGCCACCGTACCCAGCTTGTTGTTGTTTTAAAGAAATATACCCTAAATGAATCAGAGGACAGATAAATGTCCGTTTGCCAATACTCTGTCCAAAGTGTTCATTCCCTAGAGGTTAGTTTGGGGGTGATTTATTTGGGGCCGTGAGGAGCGTCTTGTACCTTTGTTTGCTGGTGCCTCCTCCTGGGTGCCCCCACTTGGCCCCACTGTCTAGGAGATGGAGGTGTGAGTTTCAGAGCACAGGGCTCCCTCTTTCCCCCTGCCGCCCCTTCCTCCTCTTACCCCCACACCCTTTTGGTTCAGAAGCTTCTACAGAAAAGGAATTCCCACCCTAAGGTGCCCTGGCTTGCTCCTCCCTCTGGGGTCATCCCTGGGGCACCCTTACTCTGTGGGGTACCTTGCAGGGCAGATGGACCCCTGAACACTCACTGTACCCATTTGGGCCTGGATGGGCAGAAAGGCTCAGGGCTTGCGGTCTGGGAGCAGTGGCCCTGGTCATGGCGCCCCCTGCAGGCCGGGCTAGGAGTGGCGCCTGCTGGACACTGGGTTGATCCCGGGACAGCCTCATGAGTTGTGGAGACCCCATCACTCCATTTCTTGAAGCTCCCAGAATATCCGGGAAAAAAAAAAAAGAAAGAAAGAAACAGAAACAAGGCTACTGAGTTGTGGTATATTTTAAATGTTTCTTTGAACAGAGTAACACTTTTCACACCCACACGGAACAGTGTGACTGCTATTCACAAGATAACCAGAATTTAAAAAAAAACAAAAACACACTGTACTTCACTAAAGGCTGAAACAGGGCACCAGATTAAAGTTGCTCGAGAAGACTGTAATTTTGGGCCTGTCTTTGTTTTCTTGGGTTGTACATTAGCCTCACTGGGAAGAAGGCCAAGAGTCTGAATTGGAGGAGACCCTCGGTGACTGGGGCACTCCAGGCCTCCGCAGCTCTGGACCTGGCCATGGGGTCTTCACACAGCACTTTGGGGTCTGGGATTTCTCAGGTCTCTTTCCCGAGGCAGCCCAGGGTAGAGTGTCAGGTTCAACCCAGAGGAGCGGTGCCTGGATGTGCCAGGGGACGGAGAGACCAGTGTGGCTAAGGTCGTGGGTGTGAGCCCTGTGTGGTCAGTTAGCTGCAGGCTGCACATTGCCCCCTGCTGGTCATCATGGAAATGGAGGCCAGTGGTCTAGAGCAGCTCTCAAAGCGTGGTCCAGGGGTCTCTGGGAGTCACCCAACACCTTTCAGGAGATCCGCAGGGCCAAAACTGTTTTCTTCATCATCATCCTAAAACCCTTGGTCTCACTGTCTCACAAGCGTACAGAAACTGAGAAGTTCATTGATGTGGTTTCAGATGCCATGCTGGAAATAATCCTTAAGAAACTGCCATCTGCTGAGATTTGGTGCAATATCAAAGAAGAATACTCACAAGTATCTGGAAAGGCCATTAAATACTCCTTCTTTTCCAATGATCACACATGTCTGTGAGGGTCTGGATGTCCTTCATGGGTGTTAACAAAGCAACATATCACAAAAGGTTGAATGAAAAATCAGATGTAAATATCCATCTGTCTTTTATTAAGCCAAACATTAAATCGATTTGTAAAAAGTGCTTTTAAAAAGCCACTCATCTTACTAATTGTTTTTGTCTTGAATATATAATCTTTTCACATTATATGTAAATCATGGGAACCTCTACTGGATTTTTTTTTTTTCTTTTACTGGATTATTTTTAATGAACTAATAATTTTTCTGATTTCTCAGTTTTAATTTCTGATATAGTAAATTTCAATGGATATAGCCCAAATATTTTGGAGTCCTCAAGAATTTTTAATAACATTTTAATGAGTTGTAATTCACATATCATAAAATTCACACTTTTAAAGGGTATAATTCAGTGGTTTTAGTATATTCACAAAGTTGTGCAATGATCACCCCTCTCTAGTTCCAGATCATTTTTACCACCCCAAGAAGAGACCCTGAGCCCCTCAAGGGTCACTCCCTCTTCCTCCATCCCCTGACGACTACTAATCTACTTTCTATCTCTATGGATTTGCTTTTTCTGGACATTTCATGTAAGTGAAGTCGCATAATATGTGGTCTTTTGTGACTGACTTTTTTCACTCAGGATGTTTTCAAGCTTCATCCATGTCATAGCGGGCCATATTTTATGGCCAAATAATATTCCACTGTGTGGATATAGCACATTTTATTTGTTTATCAGTTGATGGATATTTTAGTTGTTTCTTCTTTGGGGCTGTTATGAATAATGCTGCTAAGAACATGTATGTACAAGTTTTTGTGTGAACATATGTTTCTGTACTCTTGGGTATATAACTAGAAGTGGAGTTTCTGGGTCGTATGATGATTCTGTTTAGCATTTTGAGGAAGTGTCAAATGGATTTCCAACCTCAATATTCTTTATTTGTTTGTTTATTTTAGAGACAGGGTCTTGCCCCGCCATCCAGGCTGGAGCACAGTGGTTTGATCATAGCTCACTGCAGTCTTGAGTGCCTGAGCTCAAGACATCCTCCCACTTCAGGCTCCTGAATAGCTGGGACTACAGGAGTATACCACCATGCCTGACTGATTTTTAAAATTTTAAATTTTAAAATCTCACTGTGTTGCCCAGGCTGGTCTTGAGCTCCTGGCCTCAAGCGATCCTCCTGCCTCAACCTCCAACCTCAGTATTTTCTAAGAGGATAGAGGGGTCCTGAGTTTGCAATTCATTGGTCTAGATGGGATTGGACCAGGGGAATATGGATGACGGGTTAAGTCCCTCATCCTTGCTGGGGGTTGAGATGCCCTCAAACTCATCTCACTCCCCTCAGAATGCATGAGTGGCATCCTCAGAATAGATCATCCAAGAGTGGGACCTATCCTTGGCAGCAAGGAGAAAGCCAGCCAAGCTAGACTGTGCACAGTGGATCTGGAATGGGTCACACCCTGCAGGATTCCTGGGGGTGCCATTCTCCTTGCAATCTCTGTTGGGTGTGCCCCTTGGCAGTGTACTGGGTGGGGGTCCTGGCTGCAACTGCCCCATACTGCCCTGCTCCAGAGAGTGCTGTGATTGTCTGTGTGAACCTCTTGGAGAGTAGAGCCCATGTGTCTAGGGCCACTGTTCCCGGTTCCCCCGGTTTGGGAGCAGTGTAGGGTTTGCCCAGGCTATCTAGCCATCTGCCCCCCTGGCCCTGGCTGTACTGGGAAGGGATGAGGATCAGCTGTACTGGGAAGGGATGAGGATCAGCTGCCCTCCAGGGCTTGCCGGCTGAGTTGAAAATTACCAAGGGCAGCTGGCATGGTGGCTCACGCCTGTAACACCAGCACCCAGCACTTCGAGAGGTCAAAACAAGAGGATCACTTGAGCCCAGGGGTGAGACCAGCCTGGGCAGCATAGCAAGACCTCATCTGTCTGCCATCTGCACCCCAGCCAATGACACACTCTCTTTCTTCTTCCCCCTTCTCTTCTCAGATGTGATTCCCACCCTGGGCTGGGCACTCAGAGCCATGGCTGACACCATCTTCGGCAGCGGGAATGATCAATGGGTTTGCCCCAACGATCGGCAGCTGGCACTGCGAGCCAAGTGAGTGTGTCTGAGGCTCTACCAGGCCTTCTCCTCCTTCTTCCTCCCTGCTTCCCTCCTTTCTTTGATAAGATTCCTTTCCAGGGACCCAGAAAAAGACGTCTGGAGAGAAGTACCTGCTGAAAGTGCACCATACTCCAGGCCTTGAGCCAGACACTTAACAGCTGTTCACTTACTAAGCCGCCGTGAGTATGGCTCCATTTCTCAGAGAAGGAAAGTGAGGCTGAGCTCCTGGCCCACATCGTTTAACTCGTGAGTGGCGGGGCTGTGACCCACACCTGGGTCCGTCTCACTCCCAAGCCTGTGTTCTTTCTGTCACAACAGGCTGCAGGGACCAGACCACTTCACTTGCCTTCTGTCCTGTCACTAAGCCTGAAGACCCCAAGCCCCGTGAGGGAGGGAGCCTTAGATGTCTGGAAGCCCACTTCATAATCAAGTGCCTGGCACCATCAGGCAGGACAGAGAAAACATTTGCTGCATGAGTGAAGAGCTGGCCCTCGGGCTGAAGCACGTGGCCAGCCCTGTCCCAGGGTCTTTCCCTGCTCTCATCAGATGCTCTCTAGTTGCCTGGTTCTGGGCTGTTCCCTTGGGGTCCTGGTGTCCCTGTTATCCTTCAGCCCCGGGCAGGGCAGGTCATCTCCACCCACTGTCCACTGACTGGAGACAGAGGGCTCTCAGATGCCTCTCCTGGCTTCCAGCCCCACCTGCCCTCCTGGGGGCTGGGGCTCCCTGGCATCTGATAAGTCCAAAAGTGCCCCTTTTTCTGTCAAACTGTGCCAATGACAGGAGCCAGCATTTCCCGAGTGGGACCACATTCAAGAAATTTGCAATTAGATGTTATGAGCCTGCAGGGGACAGAGCCAAAACATCAAAGGGGGATGGAAAAATTAATCTGAAATGCCCAAGAAGAGTGGAGTCATGCATGATTTGCAGAAGTCCTTGCAGTTAATTCGTCCCCTCCGCTGGGACAGCTCAGCTCCCTTCGGCTCCCCTACACAGCCCCCTTCACAGGGAGAATGACCCGGGATGAGATCGGTCCCTCTCCCTCTCTCCTCTGATGCCAGGCAGAGAGTGTCCTCTCTGGCAGGGTGTAGTTTCTGGGGAGAGCTTGCCGCCTATGCTCTTGAACAAGAGTCCAGCAGGACCCTCCTGACTCCTCCAGAGTTCCCTTCCGCTCTCCCTGACCTTGTCTCTTGCTCAGCAGCAGCCAGAAGCTGTTGTAGCACCTTTCAGAAGAACGAATGCTTTTATCTCCTCCCCAGAGTGTGCGGCCTTGTCATGCCTGGCAGAGTCTCTGTAAAGGAGAGCATACAAACCCCTGGCTGCAGAGCTGGGAGTGTGCCCTGCGGGCCCCTCCGGGGGAAATTACCTTCCCCGCTGCAGCAGCTCAGGGCTCCCCTCTGGCCCTCCAGCTGCCATCAAACATATTTTAAACCCCTACTAAGTGCGAGGTGATGGTTGCAGAGCAGCAAACAAGACCAGCAGGATCTCTTGTCTTAAAAGCACAGTTGGGGAGAGGGGAGCATTATGTGAATAATTACCCACATGCCGCTGCTTTGATGATGGTAACAGACAGTTGGGGTTGAGGGTGCTGCGAATGTAGTCTGGGGATCGAGAGAGGCTTTCCCTGAGACTGTGATGCTTACGTTGAAACCAGAGGAAGGTAAATGTTAGATAGAAATACGAGAGGCAGAATGTCTAGACAACAGGGGCAGCATGTGCAAACACCCTGAGATAGGAGGAACAGAGCAGGTAGAGGACCTGACAGAAGGTCAGTGTGGCTTGAATGCAAATGGGGAGAACAGTGTGAAAGGAAGATGAAGTGGCAGTGGCCACACAGAGCAGGGCCTGCCCCTCCAGAAACTTACATCCTAGAGGGAGAGATGGAGGATTCCATGTTGACTTGTAATAATGTTTAAGCCAGTGAGGGACATGTGCCTTTACCCTATAAGAACTCTCAGAATTGGCTGGTCTCGGTGGCTCAGCCTGTAATCCCAGCACTTTGGGAGGCTGAGGGGAGTGGATCACTAGAGTTCACGGGTTCGAGACCCGCCCGGGCAACTTGGTGAGACCTCATCTCTACAATAAATCAAAAAATTAGCCAGGCGTAGCGCGCACCTGTAGTTCCAGCTACTTGGAAGGCTGAGGTGGAAGGATCACCAGAGCCCAGCAGGTCAAGGCTGCGGTGGCCAGGAGCGGCCACTACACTCCAGTCTGAATGACAGAGTGAGATTCCAACTCAAAAAAAAAAAAAAAAAGCTGGGCTCGGTGGCTCAGCCTGTAATCCCGCGCCTTTGGGAGGCTGAGGTGAGTGAATTGCCTGAGCTCGCAGGTTCGAGACCCGCCTGGGCAGGCGAGACCTCATCTCTACAATAAATTTAAAAAAATTAGCTGGGCATAGTAGCATGCGCCTGTAGTTCCAGTTACTCGGAAGGCTGAAGCGGAAGGATCGCCAGAGCCCAGCAGGTTGAGGCTGCGGTGGCCGGGAGCAGCCACTGCACTCCAGTCTGGGCGACAGTGAGACTCCAACTCAAAAAAAAAAATAAAAGAACTCTGAGAATAGATTTTTAACTTGTTTTGGAGGGGGAGGTCATGTCTAAAGAAGTCTTAAAAAAGAATAGGAATTGGCCGGGTGCAATGGCTCACACCTGTTAATTTCGACACATTGAGAGGCCAAGGCAGGAGTTATTACCCAAGAGTTTGAGACTAGCCTAGGCAACATGGTAAGACCTCATCTCTACAAAAAAAAATTTTTTTAATTAGCTGGGTGTGCACCTGTAGTCCCAGCTACTGAGGCAGAAGTATCTCCTGAGCCCAGGAAACTGAGGCTGCAGTGGCTGGGAGTATGCCACTGCACTCCAGCTTGAGTGACAGAGTGAGAACTCGACTCAAAAAAAAAAAAAAAGGACAGGAGTGAACAGCTGGAAAGAGGGTTCAGGGCAAGAGAAGCACTCCAGTGAAGGGCACAGCACATGTGAAGGCCTAGAGACTGCATGCAGCCTAGAACATAAGGGAACTAAGGGCAATTGGTGAGACCAGGTGAGTGAGAGACAAGGGCACCGAACAGGGGTACATAAGATGGATCTCCTGGATGTGGAGGCTGTACTGCTTCCCAGAAATTGCAGCCCCATCGAGTCTGCCCTGCAGCTGTGTGGATGGGATATCGTAGGGGAGCAGTGTATAGGTAGCAGCCATGGTCGTAGGTGGGAGTCAGGGCCTGACCTAGACGGTGGTCATGAGCCTGGGCAGGAGGTCAGATGAGAGGACATGAATGATTGGGGCCTGGTGGCTGATCTGAAGAAGGCAGGAACGTGGGTGTGGGGAATGCTTCAGGGAGCAGGGCTGTCAGCAGTTGCTGGATGTGAACTCCCCAGGTCAGGGCAGAGGCCAACTCTTGATTACCCTTAACTGTGTAGCTGCACTCTGCACCTCATTCCTCTGGGGCATGGGGAGACCTACCTTGGAGGGTGACTGTGAGTGTCCCATGAGAGGATATCTGCAGAACTCTGGCTGGCACCAACCCCAGAGTGAGCTGGGTGGGAGTCGTGCCCTTCAGGACAGGCGGCAGAACTGATACCCTCCTTTCCCTGTATTCCTGGGGCCCTTCTTTTCTCCTCATTAGCTAGGCGGTAGCTGGGAGAGAGGGGATTCCCTGAGCATGGAGTCCCTGGTTTCCAATTCCCCTTCCCTTGGCCCAGGGAGCCACACGATGTGTCCTGGCCAATCACCGACCACTTGAGTCTCTGAAATGCTCAGATGGAGCAAAGCAGCAGATAGGGGGTGGGAAGGGGGTGTTGCTTTTTCGGGTCTGAACCCCTGAGCCTGTCCAGCTCCCTGGACTTGCTTCCCTTTGTCTCTCTCCCAGCCCTGCCCCATGGCCCCATCTTGCCTTCCCCAGCCCGGTGAGGATTATTTGAAAAAGTGTCAGTTTAGGGCAGTGCCTTTTTTTTTTAAGTGACAAAGCAGGATTTACTGAGAGGACAGAAAAGCTCCCACAGTGGGAGGAGACCCGAAGGGATTGCCTAGTGCCTTTTTTTAATTGGCTGAATAAGCAGTCTAGAAGTATGGACCTCCCAAATACAGCACATGACTTTATGCCTCTGTGCCTTTGCATGTGTGGTCTCCTCAGCCTGAACCCACCTCCCTCCTTCTATTGGGGAAGCACCTATTCATCCTGCAAAACCCTGGGCAAATGCTACCTCTTTGCTAAAGCCATTCCTGAGGGCCCAGGATCATTGTAGTAATCAATAGCTACTACTTGTTAAGCAACTGGACGCTGGCTATATGAAAGTACTTTACATACCCTACTTCATTTAATCCTCATGACATACCCTTCCTCATTTAACCTGCATGGCATCCCTTAGAGAGACAGATCGGAAAATCAAGGATGAGAACCTCACCCAAGATCTCACAGCTAGGAAGGGATGGAGCCACAAAAATAAGACCAGCTAGCAGACTCCAAAGTCTGACTCTACCTATCCTTCTGCCTCAGGCTTCTGAGTAGCTGAAACTACAAATGTGTGCCACTGTGCATGCCTGGCTTATTTTTCTGATGTTTTTGTAGAGACAAGGTCTCGCCATGTTGCCTAGGCTGGTCTCGAACTCCTGGGCTTGAGCAGTTCTCCTGCCTCCGCCTCCCAAAGTGCTGGGATTACAGGCGTGAGCCACCATGCCTGACCACTAATCCCTTATTTTCACCACCCACCTTCCTAACACCCACCTGCATGTCTCACCAGCAGCATGTCCCTGGCACTTAAGGAGCCGGGCCTCCCAGTGGGTGCTCAATAAATAACACATGGAGTGAATAACTCATCTTGTAATTGTCAATTAAATAAATGTTTGTGTAATTGATTTGGCATCCATCTCTCCCACCATATTGTCACTCTTCAGGGCATAGTGACTTTTCCTTTCTTGTTTATCTCTGTACTCATAGGCCTTGGGACCAAAAGTCTCAGAGAAGCTGGGACCCAGGTGGGGCCTTGGGGCTTGGCCCACACTGCCACTCTCCCCGTTCAGAAAAACAGAAAGGGTTTGAGGTTTCTCCCAGCCCTGGGTCACAGCCTCGGGAGGCGTCACTCCTGCAACAGAGCAGAGACAGCTGAACTCCGGTGCCAGGTCCTAGCCCTACCTCATCATTGCCTGCCCTCGCCATATCTCCTCTTGTATGACACTTTCCCCTCCTGCCCCTGAATCTGCTAATTTTCAAAATGCTGCTGTGTGAGTTTGCTAGCCTCAAGGTTCGTTTTTACCCTAATTACAAGTCTTTCCTATCCCATAATAAACGCCATCTCACTCTCTTCTAGAACTCAGGCCTCAGCTTTTATTCTTCCCTTGATGATCTTCCATGCTTCTCCCCGACACCTCGCACACTGTGACACTGACCTTCTCCATGTGCACAGGGGTCATCTTCCTGTCCCTGTCTCCTTGTGCTAAGATGGTGCAGCCATCTTCGCCAAGGCCCAGGAGCTGGCAGATGGCAGAGTCGTCACTTGGAGCCCATATCTGCCCGTCTCTGTTACCTGCACTCCTTGCTCACAGCTCATGGCACCTGGGTTGTCCACAGAATGTCCTTGGGGGGCTTCATGGATGTGGCAGGAGTACTGGGGTTTGCACTGGGGCCTCAACGCCATCTGTGCTATTCTCTCTTGAGGCTGCAGACGGGCTGGTCCGTACACACCTACCAGACAGAGAAGCAGAGGAGAAGCCAGTGCCTCAGCCCAGCAGAGATAGAGGCCATCCTGCAGGTCATCCAGAGGGCTGAGCGGCTTGACGTCTTGGAGCAGCAGAGGATTGGGTGAGGGCTAGGCCTGCGCAGGCCGGAGTGGACTCAGGGAGAGGGAGGTGAGGGTGTCTAGTGCAGGCGAGGAGGCTGGTGCTCTGGGTCCTGGTGTTGTATTTCACCAGTGGGAGTGGGTCGGGAGGTCACCAACTCCAGCCCTTCCCCAGCTTCTGTGCCTGAACATAAAGCCTTGATGTGGCCTTCTGTAAGATAGGGTGACAGCTGAGGTGTGGGCCCTATTCTGTGGGGGCAGGTGTGATCATGGTGAATTGCCTCTGGCTGTTCAGCTCTGCACACCTGCCAGTCAGCAGTGATTCAACCAAGGGAGGGGTTCAAGTTCAGGTGGCATCTGAATCTCTTTTTTTTGTTTGTTTTTTTGGGGTTTTTTTGAGTTGAGTCTTACTCTGTCACCCAGACTGGAGTGCAGTGGCCGCTCCCGGCCACTGCAGCCTCG